CTGCTTCCTCTCAACCTCATCCTTTCTCTTTCTCCTGGTGATCGACTGGATTATGGAGACGTCAACATCTGGGGAGAAGCATGGGATACAGTGGACATCTAGGATGCAGCTGGACGACCTAGATTTCACAGATGATCTGACTCCTATGTCGCACACGCAAAAACAAATGCAGGAGAAGACGACCAGTGTAGCTACAGCCTCAGCAGCAGTAGGTCTCAACATACACAAAGGGAAAAGCAAGACCCGATACAACACAGCATGCACCAATCCAATCACAATTGACGGAGAAGATTTGGAAGATGGGAAAACCTGTACATATCTGGGCAGCATCATTGATGAACAGGGCGGATCTGATGCAGATGTGAAGGCGCGGATCGGTAAAGCAAGAGCAGAATATTGAACAATTGAAGGACATCTGGAACTCAAAACAACTGTCTGTCAACCAACACCAAGGTCAGAATTTTCAATATAAATGTCAAGACAGTTCTACTGTATGGGACGAAAACTTGGAGAACTACGAAAGCTATCATATAGAAGATACAGGTGTTTATTGACAGTTGTCTATGCAAAATACTTCGGATACAGTGACCAGACACTATCAGCAGCAACCTACTGTGGGAGAGAACAAACCAGAGAGAGAAATCAGGAAGAAGTACTGGAAGTGGATGGGACACACATTGAGAAAACCACCAAACTGTGTCACAAGGCAAGCCCTCACACTTAATCCTCGAGGTCAAATGAGAAGAGGAATACCAAAAAACATATTACGCCAAGAAATGGAAACAAATATGAGAAAAATGAACAACAATTGGATAGAAGTAGAAAGGAATGCCCAGTACAGAGTGGGTTTGAGAATGCTGGTCGTCGGCCTATGCTCCATTGAGAGTAACAGAAGTAAGACCTTTCAATTTGACTCTTCGTTATCAATATTCATAACCTGTATGAATTCTTGTTCCGGAATCTACTCAAGCACTACAAAATTCAAAAGTTTGATAGCAATAGAAGATACTTTGGAATATTTTGTATATTCCAAAGTAATTCTTCAGTTCACGTCATGGTTACTAGTTTGCAAACTAGTCACTTAAATAGTTTATTGCAAGGTAGTGAATTTAAACTAATCATCGCTAGTAAAATGATTGAGTGAATGAATTGTCAGTCAACCAAACTAGTTAACCACAGTCAGTCATAATCAACGTAAAACCTGCCACAAATATACGTTAGCCTGAGTTACTATACCACTTTAATACGACCATAAGAAACTATTAATTTATTTGTTTAAACACATAAACATTGGTACAAGGAGGTACCAAATACATATGCGCCACATAAATCATTTGACATATGTGAGGGCTGAGGTACTGTCCGAGTGCTCAGACCGAAACAGATAGTTTTCTTAGGGGGCCACACCCGGAGCCTTTGACCTAAAAGTCTTATCCACAATGCAGTGGAGCAACGTAAGGAGTTGCGGTCCCGTGATAGCCGTTCACCAAAAATAGGTTTATACGCCATTTTTTTCCTTCAGAACCCTAGAACCCACGTGCACTATTGGTTTGGAATGAGGGTTTTCCAGATCCTCTAGGTGGACTCTCTGTGTCCACCAACCCGGTTAAAGCGCCGGACATTCGCTTCTCGTCTTCTGAATTTCGTAAACAACACCACCGCGAGAAGGCAGTGAGATGAATTGTATATGAGTCGAGATGATTTCGTAATGATGATACAAAATACTTATAATTGAAAATATGATTAAAAAGGACAGAGTGAAAAGGTATGTACGAATAGAGAAGACGTCAAAAATGATTGTGTTTTCTAAAGAATTTATAACTTTAATTAGCTTTATGTATAAATTGATTATGACTTTCTTCCAGGAGATTGTTATATCCTAATGAAGATTAAATTACGGGTAACTTCTAAGAACTATTCAGTAACTAGGTTATGTACATCTATATTTCCTTTTATTATAAGCTTTATTTCGATCTATGCACTATTATGACATGATTTACTGTTCTTAAATTATACTCAGGTTATTGATTACAATTTCCCACGTTCACAGCCACTTTTTGGCTTGATCTTTTATAAATGTTGTTTCCTATTTAGTCATGTGATGAGATCTGTTTAACTGGTATATAAACAGGTATGTCTGAAACAAATGATTCGCATAGTAGAAGCTGTCATTGGTGTTCTAAACTCAACCGAAAAGGCTAGAATATCAAAGGATGCTAGGTTGCTCATACCGGTCAGACGTCATTGGTTAAGCACAGAACTAAGATTGAATAAGTCGTATTTCGATTGGCGAATAAATCATGTGACAATTAGCCAGGCATACAACAGAGATTATCCAGTTATATGATGAGACTACGCAAAACAACTTTCAACCAATACAAAAGTGAGAATCTTCAATAACAACGTCAAAGCAGTCCTACTGTACGGAGATGAAACTTGGGGAACTACAACAGCTACCATCAAGAGGGTAAAAGTATTTATACATAGCTGTCTACGCAAGATACTCACCATCCATTGGCCGCATACCATCAGCAACAGTCTACTGTAGAAGAGAACAAACCAGCTTCGAGCTGAAAGAGGAATTAGGAACAGAAGATGGAAATAGATAGGACATACATTACGGAAATCGTCAAACTGCATCACGAGACAAGCCCTAACTTGAAATCCTGAAGAGAAGAGGAAAAGAGGAAGGCCAAAGAACAAATTACGTTGGGAAATAGAAGCAGATATGAAAAAGATGAATACCAACTGGAAAGGATTGCCCAAGATAGGACTGGATGGGCAATGCTGGTGAGCGTCCTATGCTCCTTCACGAGGAGTAACAGGCGTAAGTAATGATGAGACTGTAATTTAGGAACGACCTTTGTGCAACTCTAGACTAACTTTGAGAGTGACCACTTAATAACCAAGATCAAGTAAAGGTTATAAACCTGTGCGAGGAAATCAAATTATGATTTACAGTTAGTGGTTAAGTGAGGAATTATAATTTGAAGGTTTCATCACAAACTGACGTCAGCTAAAATTTCGCGCCAAAATCCAAGACCTATTATCATCTTATATCTGATAGATTCACTTGGTATTGTTTTACTTGAATCTTCCCATTGATGTTTTAGGACTGAAGTTGATCAGTCTCTTATTGGCCTATGTGCATACTGTGCGTACGCCTCGATATTGCCTTAATTTACAAGGATTATAAGCAAAGATTGATAGCGGCTAGCAGTGGAATCCAGGAGGCACGTTTCGTCCTATTGGGACCCATCAGCTGAATGTACCTGCATCTCAGAGTTGAGTTCACTCTGAGACTCGAATCCAGTAGAGTATTCGCTTCACGCCATCACGTTATCCACTCAGCTACTGATTCTGATAACCACTTGCTTGTGCATGGGGTGAAGTTTAATTCACTTTGTAGTGTTTTACTTGAATCTTCCATTGAGGTTTTAGGACTGAAATGATCAGTCTCTTATTGGCATATGTGCATACTGTGCGCATGCTTCGATATTGCCTGACGAATCCCAAACAGGACGAAACGCGCATCCTGGATTCCATGCTACCACTATCCATCTTTACTTATATCTGATTGGTTCATCATAATAAATGATAGAATAATCTCACCAAAAAAATAATAAATAAACTTACCATTTTATCAAGATTTCAGATAAAATTGATTTTTTCCATTGATAACCATGTAATATGTGTACTCATTGAAAATAAACCAATGGTATAGGTAAATGATGAAATTTCGCTGGATTACGATGATCATAAATATAAATATGAATAATCTTTGTGTTGTTAATCCATAATTGTAAGAATATTCCATCAATATTTAATCCTAAACTAATATGATATATAATTAAAGTACATCGTTTTAGGATGTTTCCTTCGAGAATTCGAATGATTATGATTGTAGGCCCGACTTATGCTTCATCATAAGGACTAATCCTAGAAACTGTGCTTAGTCTACGTTCATGTCAATTTATTCATTCGTTTAATTCTTTCACCATGTGATTGGTGAATTGATAAGTAACCCAATAAGGGATTAATAAACAAACATTTGATTACTGTGACCTTGAAGATCAATGATTGTAACCAATAGGATGTTCGTTTTGAAGGTTATAAGAAACCTATTAAAATATGAAATAATGTTATTGAATAGTACAAATCAACTATGGAATTAAAATTGACAAGATAAGTTAGTTAAGCAGTCAGCTACCAATGTAGTCAAGTTAAGCGGTTGTGGCAGTATACGTAGAAGTGATTAGATTTATATAGCAAAAAGTATAGACAGATTTTAACTCTGAAGATCTAACCTAAGACAAAGACTGAACACAACTACCTCATTACAAACGATTCTGACTAATATCATCCAACATTTTCAAGCATTGGATACTATAATCAATAAGGGATCTGCATATATCTATATGACTTAATCTATCCCATTACAAACGATTCTGACTAATATCATATAACATCTCCAATCATTGAATACTATTATTCACTGAGGGATGTGTACAAGCATGACATTGATCACCATCCAGTGATCAATCAATTGTGATTACATCTCGGTCCTACAGGAGGTTAGTCACGGCTCGGATAGCTCAGTGGTAACGTCTCTGACTGTGAAGCTGGGTGACGCTAGATCGAATCCGCCAGGGAGCACCAGTTCCCTCAAGATTACAGGTACACCTTGCTGAAGAGTGCCAAGTAGCACGAAACCCGGGTCCACAGTTTCCTGTTGACTACCTCCAACTACCATCTAAATCTCAATACATAGTGCCCGCAGTGTCGAGTCACCTAGACTGGTGGCCACATTGCAACATGATCGACAAGCATGACATTGATCACCACCCAGTGATCAATCAATTGTGATCTGTACATATCTATATGATTTAATCCAACAATCAATGATTATATAGACTAATACCACATTATCATTTATCCTTCAAGATTACTCTTATTAACCATCAATCTTATCAATGAACTTACAAAAATATGAAGATTACCATTCGTTTCTATGATGTAATCATCTTTCATAATATGATCAATTGTATTTAATTGTTTATTATTATGATACCAATGAATTATTGCATGAGGTGAACCAAATGTTTCACATGGTAATATCAATTGTTGTCCTTCAATCATATATTGTATACCATGGATCACATTAATAAATGCTGGTGGTTGATTCCATATATGAATATATGCATTGATTATATTAATACCATGGATATTATGAAGAATACATTGATAAACAGCTGAATCATGTACAGTTAAATTGTATAAATATAAAGCCTTGAATCAAAACAAACAAAAAAGAAAAATAGAAATTATTTGATAATAAATTGGTAAATTCAATAGCTGGACCACCATGGAAAACCTGGAAGCACTGGACGGTTGTTTCATCCTAGTATAGGATGCCTCAGCAGTGCGTATCCACGATCCTGGCCCCACCTCGCCAGATTAGAACCCAAGACTTATCGGTCTCCATAAAACCCCTTCTGATCATAAATTAGTAGTTGAAGATTTACAAATGATTGGTTAGTGAATGGTGATCAATGTTATGTATGTTAGATCTTTCTTAATACAGATCGAATCCTATCGAACAAGTTATAATGTGATCACTAGTTTAGGTGACTCGATAATGCACGCATTGTGTTGAGATAAGATGGTGATTGGAATTAGGCGAAAGGAAAACCTGGACATAGGTTTCATGCTATTTAGCACTCATCAGCAAGGTATAATTGTAATCTTGAAAGAACTGATACTCCGGATAACCAAGTAATAACATGTCTGAATATGGAGTAGAACTTTATTTATTTCACCATATAAACATTGGGACAAAGAAGCACCAAATGGATATACGCCACATAAATCATTCGAATTGTATGAGAGCTGGGGTACTAACCGGGTGCCCAAACAGAAAAAAGTGGTTTTCCTAGGAGGCCGCACTCCTAGACTTTAACCTGAAGGTCTGATCCATAAGACAGTGTAGCGAAGTCAGGAGATGCAATCTCATGGTAGCCGGTGAACAACAATAGGTTCATACGTCGTTTCTTCCCTTAGGATATTGAAGCCGATGTGCACCATTGGTTTGGAATCAGAGTTTTCCAACTGACCTAGGTGGACTCTCCGTGTCCACCAACATGGTTAGAGCGTCAGACAGTCGCTTTTCTTCCTCTCCATTTCATAAGCAATACCCCAGTGATGAGAAGGCAGTGAATAGGTCTTTCCTGGCAGTGAGTGTATGCACGTGTCCATGTGAGAGTATTTCGAGAGAGAAGGAGAGAGGGACAGCGGACTATCCCCAACCTCGACTGTACCAGGGCATTTGGTGCATTATGTTTATTCATAGTCATGAATCTGACAATCTTTTAACAGTCAGATCAATAATACTGAAACTTGATAACTCTTTAATCACATTTACTGTAAACAGAAGAAGATTAGTGATTACTAACTATAAATTATTATCTCGCCATATATACAACATATTTTTATTGAAATATCGTGGATGCGAACTGCTGAAGAGTCCCATACTAGGACGAAACGGTCATCCAGAGCTTCCAGGTTTTTCATCATAGTCTAGCTTCTATTGACTCATGAATTCAACTATTAAGATATCTATCATTATCTTAAATAAACTTCAAACTAGAAACATAATCATCTAATTATCAGATTGACATTGGAAAGTATTCATTTCATAATAAAGATAAATCAGTTTTCTTTATATTAATGTTAGGATCGATTCAGTAATGTATCATCATCTCATTTGTCACTTTTTTGTTGGATATAACAATTACTATTATTATTATTATTGTCTGAATGAGGGAGGTAATACCTAACTCACACATCTTCGTCGTGCCTCCTGGATATTGGGACGTAGTCCCATGAATTAACAGGAGTGGTAAACTGGATGATAGAGATAGGACTAATCACCCACTCGACCGACACCCATAAATGATAACGAGTGTTACAAAGAAAAATAGCACAATTTTAACTGCAAAAACATCTATTTCGCCCCGGTGGTTGTGCCATGCTTCGATGTAACCGATTTTGTGGAAAGGCCTACTAGGCTTCACCAAGTTGATTTTAGCTAGAAGTGGGGGGGGGGCAATGAAATCTTCGTATCAATCACCTAATCTACCTTTTATGATGATAATAATGTTTGTTAGTTTTTGTTTGTGCAACTATACAAAACTAAACAAACTACACATGGATTGTTATTCATTCGTATATATTGAAAGGACGAAAAGCGAATGTCTGGTGTTTTAACTGGGTTGGTTGATATGGAGGGTTCCCTATAAAAGAGTTAGAAAACCCTAATTCAATGGTGCACATAGGCTACAAGATCCAGAGGGAACAAATAGTGTATGAACCTATTGTTGATTACCGGCTATCATGGGACTGTATCTCATGACGTTGTTCCACTGCCTTATGAATCAGACCTTAAGGTCAAAGTCTCGTGGTGTTGCCCCGTAATAAAACCACCTGTTTTCGCATTAGGCAACCGGATGGTATTTCAACCCTTACACGAATCGGATGGTGCAGTTTGATGCCTTCTTGTAACAATATGTGTTCAAATAAAATAAATTTATGTGTAACAATGAAGTTAAGATTAATGGCTTTTCATTGTTCAATTGAGCAATAAACAAACAAACAAACAAACAAAAGACAAGAATGTTACATTCAAATTTCTCATTTGTCTTTGCTCAACTCATCTTGTTATCATCATCATCATCATCATCATCATCATCATCATCCGATGAGTACCAATATTAAATGCCAAATTTCGATGAAACTATAATTTATGGACAACCTTGGAGCGTCCAACTACTTACTATAGTTATTAGATTAGTGTAAAGAATTAGAATTATGATTTATACAGTTGATGATTAAGGTTAGAAATGAGATTTAGGGTTTTTATTCCATAATAACATTAAACGATAATGCCAAAAACATTCTTTAATCAAATGGATGGATAAATTTCGCCCCAAAATTCAAGACTTAATATCTGAAATCTGATTGGTTCGTTCATCGATTATAGTCTCATTTAAGTTATATATTTAACTATATTGTTATAGAACTGGTGATGAACTGTTGATGAACATGGTGGATCTGATGCGGATGTGAAATCGCCAATCGGAAAAGCAAGAACACCATATTTACAATTGAAGAATATCTGGAACTCAAAACAACGGTCTGTCAACCAACGCCAAAGTCAGGATTTTCAATACAAATGTCAAGACAGTTCTACTGTATTGGGGCTGAAACTTGGAGAACTACAAAAGCTATCATCCAGGACAGACAAGTGTTTATTAACAGTTGTCTACGTAAAATGCTTCAGATCCATTGGCCGGACACTAATAGCAACAATCTACTGTGGGAGAGAACAAACCAGATTGTAGCGGGAGAAGAAATCAAGAAGAAGTGCTGAAAGTGGATAGGACAGACATTGAGGAAAGCACAAGACAATCCCTCACATGGAATCCTGGAGGCCAAAGGAGGAGAGGAACACCAAAGAACACATTACGTTGGTAAATGGAGATAGACATGAGAAAAATGAACAAGAATTGGATGGAATTAGAAAAGAAGGCCCAGGACCGAGTGGGTTTGAGAATGCTGTTTGGCGGTCTATAGTGCATAAGAAGTAACAGGCGTAAGTAAGTAATATTGTTATAGAAGAATAGATGACAGAAATGGACTTCATTCTAATGTATATTATTGCTATAAGTAATTTTAATCTCACAATTTAAAGGAAAACAGAGAGTGTATACACCTAGGACATTATGATCGATTCTGAGCCATATCACACAAAGTCTCGAATTATTGGGGTTACGATAGTCATGCGGACTCCAACCAAGTAGTCTGTATCTATCAACATGCCTCAGACTAAAAGTTAGTGACTTCAATGACTGACTCAATGTTTTGGTTTAGACGCTCCCTAACTTGTTATATGTATGAATAGGGATCATTTATTCATAAATTAGCTTTGAATAATAAATTCTTGTGAATATTTCTTCAAGCTAATAATAACAGCGTACTAATTAATGTTTATGAGTAGTATATCGATTTATATACTCTAAAAGGAGAGGGAGAAAGTATATTTGACGAAGCAAATATCAATTTATTGATTTTAATGATTTAAGTAATATTGATTGATCCTTTTTAATAATAATTGAAAAATGAACAGTTAGATTTTCCTTGTAATTCCCTATAGTTGAATGAGGTTCTGTAAGACCCCCCCCCCAAAAAAAAAGGAACAACAACGTATAAATCAGGATCATACCCACGTATGAACTCCACGAACAGTGACGTCTTAAATACTTTTGACACGTTTTTATTGTGCCTAACACTAAAATGTACGACATGCGTTTTGTCTTGTTTGGTACTCATCAGTTGCATGATCTCTATCAAACAGTTGATATTCACATGTGCATACAACTATTGACAGGGAAGTCCTACTCACTGCCTTCTCGCGGCATTACTATTGTTTACGAAATTGAAAGGATGAAAAGTGAATGTTCAATGCTTTGGCCGGGTTGGTGGACACAGAGAGTCCACCTAAGGGAGTTGGAAAACCCTCATTCAAAATCGCTGGTGCACGTGGGCTCCAGGATCCTGAAGGAACAATTGGCGTATGGACCGATCGATGGTCAACGGCTACCATGGGACTGCATCTCCTTACGTTGCTCTATTGGCTTGTGGATTAGACCTTCATATCGAAGGTTCAGAGTGTGGCCTCCTAAGTAAACCACCCGGGCAGTATCACAGTACACGCACAAATCAAGTAAGTCGTGTTGCTCATATATGATCGGTACCCCTTTGTACCAATATTTATGTGTTCAAATAAATAAACTGGAGTCCCTCCGGGGGCTACTGCCGGTCTAAAGCCCGGTTAAAGAAGAAGGTTTGGACATGGAGTTAGCGATCCCATCCCGTAGAAAACTAACTCGCTAAAAAAACGCTAACAAGAAAAAATTATTCAAACACTAACCAGATATATCTGACCGAAGTGAGTATCTATCGTCCTAAACACTGATACGATATCCCCTACGCTATTAAGTTCAGATAACTACCAAATAATTCAATATTTGTGATGTTTATTCAGAGATACTAAGCACTAACCAAATCAAAGGCAACTATGAGTTATTCACTCACTATCGATACTGTCATTTTATGAAGCCTAAACTATCAAAACTTCTTGATGGTTACCTCATAGTTACCTAATAATATACAATCGACTTTAGTAGAAATCATAGAAACTAATTCAATTCATTAAAATACTTACATTATTTCGACCAATTTTACGTAAACCATTTAAATATTTCTCAATCGGTTCACCATTCATTAACCAATTTAATGTTGCTAATGGTTTTGTAATTTCTTCATTAATACTACAATGTAGTACAATACTACTATTCTCTGGTAAAATAGTATTTTTAGGATATTCAGCAAAATGGGGTTTACCTAGGATAATAAAAACAAACAAAATGTATATTATACACATAAAACTGACAAGTTCACAAGTTAATCATAAAAAACATAAAAGCTGTTGTTTTACTTGTATCTTCCCAATTGTTGCTTAGGACTGTAATTGATCAGTCTCTTGTTGGAATATGTACAACCTGTGTGGATCGCTTCGATATTGCCTGAAGTCACAAGTTTTTTTAAGCGAAGATGGATAGTGGCTATGACTTTGCCCGATTGTGTAAGCAGGTGGCTATCAAAACTCAGTAGCTAAGTGGATAACACGATGGGGTTCGGAGCGAATGGTACTGGGTCCGAGTCCCGGAGTGAACATCAACAAGTTTGGAATGCGGGTACATCCAGCTGACGAGTCATAAATAGGACGAAATGTGCGTCAGACTGAATTCCACTGCTAGCCACTATCTATCTTTGCCTAAAAAGCTTGTGAATTAAGGCAATATCAAGGTATACGCACAGTATGTACATTTGCCAATAACAGACTGATCAATTGCAGTCTTAAACCTCGATAGGAAGATACAAGTAAAACAACACCGAGTGAATTTAAACTTCATCCGATTGCACAAGCGCGTAGCTATCCAAACTCAGTAGCTAAATGGTACTGGGTCCGAGTCCCGGAGTGAACATCAACAAGTTTGGAATGCGGGTACATCCAGCTGACGAGTCATAAATAGGACGAAATGTGCGTCAGACTGAATTCCACTGCTAACCACTCCCCATCTTTTCTCTTAATTATATATGGGTCTTTGATGTTCTGTTCCTAAAATATTTAGTTCCAGAATATTCATTTTGTTTTAATTGGATCTATGCCATATCAAACTTATAGTCGTTCATTTAAACTTCTAAATAAATTCACTTCCATAATGACGTTTTATTCCCATGTTACTATTTTAACTGTGCAATATTATAGATTGCAAATAGTAGGTGATTAGAACTTAAGTACTTTAGAATGTACGGTTATGTATTATTGTTGAATAGATCCAAAGTATTCCTTGAAAACAAAACCGAAAGAGAGACGTTGAAAACATTACGAAAGATTTTTTCCCGGGTAGCATTGAATAGATGTTCCTGTGAAACAACAAAAAATTAAAGAGTCATGTATCACAATTCTGATTGGGTGATTACCTATCTTTCTGTCGAGTAGTGTGCTATTGATTTTGACAGATGCCAATAGCATGTATAATCAGTCGAAGTGAAATGTCTGGCGGCAGAATGTTAAGAAGATCGAAGAGAAAAGAACGAGAACAAGAACAAAGAATAATTGATGTGGAAATGAAAGAACAATGAAGTGTAAGATGACTCATTGACATTTTGAATATGAATTATTCACCATATGGCTCTGTCATTTTGTATTCAAATACATTGAGTTGTCCCAGCTTATGTTCTCGTTTATTATATTGCTATTATGTTTCGTAGGGTTCCAGAACCTTTCAGAAGCCTAGAGGCCATCTGACATGCTATAAGTACCTTCAATTTTCTGTACATCAACTAACTTTGGAATAAAGCGTTCTTTCCATATTTCACTCCTACTATTTCGCATTCAGTTGTCGTATAGACTTAGTCTGATGTTAATAGAAGACCTTAGAATAAAAATGAAGCAATAAACTTACTTTCAACAGTAACATTGAATATAACATGTGGATCATATGTTGAGATCATATAATCCATATTAATTGTACTACATCGATAACTACCATGATTAATCATTTGAACTGTTGGAATGTATAATTCCATTCCATGATTTTTTAATTTGATTCCATACTTTTCTGGAAGCTATATAATCAATGGAAACGATATAAGAATATTATATGATGATTAGTCATATTATAAGTATATATATATAAATATAGTATAGAGGTTCATGAAGCCCACAAATGCCCTGGTACGACCGAGGGGTGGATAGAGTCAGCTTTCCTTCTTTTGAAATCTTCTCAGGTGGACATGTGTATGCAGCCAATGACAGGGAAATTCAATTCATTGCTTTCTCGCGGCCGGAATGTTGTCTACGAAATGGCGAGGACGAAAAGCGAATGTCCGGTGCTTTAATCGACTTAGTGGATGTGGAGGATCTATGTAGGGGAGTTGGAAAACCCTGATTCAGTGGTGAACATGAGTTCTAGGATCCATAGGGAACAAATGGTGTATGAATCAATTATTAGTGACCGGCTATCATGAACCTGTATCTCCTTACGTTACTCCACTGCCTTGTGGATTAGACCTTTAGGTCGAAGACTCTGGGTGTAGCCCTATAAGAAAAACCAACTACTTCTGTTTGGGCATCGGGGTAGTCTCATAGCTCATACTCAAATCAAGTGATTTGTGTGGCGCATGTTATTGGTGTCTCATTGTACCAATATTTATGTGTTCAAATAAATAAAATAGTTTAGTGAATTGACTGATCTCACTTAGGCCATCACTGTAAACTAGGAAGTGTTGGATAGTTGTATCGTCCTACTGTGTAAAATTAGTAGTATACATCCATGACTCTGGCGAAGATTGAAAGTAGGACCTTCGGTCTTGCACTAAGTAAATGCTTTTGAGACCACTGAGTCAGCATGTGATATCTAACTACAATCAGTCCAAGATACATCGTGGCTTTCTTCCATTACTTGAGATAGATAACTTTATCACACAAAACAGATAGATAGATAGATAGATAGATAGATAGATAGATAGATAGATAGATAGATAGATAGATAGATAGATAGATAGATAGATAGATAGATAGATAGATAGATAGATAGATAGATAGATAGATAGATAGATAGATAGATAGATAGATAGATAGATAGATAGATAGATAGATAGATAGATAGATAGATAGATAGATAGATAGATAGATAGATAGATAGATAGATAGATAGATAGATAGATAGATAGATAGATAGATAGATAGATAGATAGATAGATAGATAGATAGATAGATAGATAGATAGATAGATAGATAGATAGATAGATAGATAGATAGATAGATAGATAGATAGATAGATAGATAGATAGATAGATAGATAGATAGATAGATAGATAGATAGATAGATAGATAGATAGATAGATAGATAGATAGATAGATAGATAGATAGATAGATAGATAGATAGATAGATAGATAGATAGATAGATAGATAGATAGATAGATAGATAGATAGATAGATAGATAGATAGATAGATAGATAGATAGATAGATAGATAGATAGATAGATAGATAGATAGATAGATAGATAGATAGATAGATAGATAGATAGATAGATAGATAGATAGATAGATAGATAGATAGATAGATAGATAGATAGATAGATAGATAGATAGATAGATAGATAGATAGATAGATAGATAGATAGATAGATAGATAGATAGATAGATAGATAGATAGATAGATAGATAGAGTATAATACAAACTTTTCTCTAATGGGAAGAACATTAACAAACTATCAGCTGAGGGAAGAAAATAAACCCAAATTGATTCCGTCATAAAAAATCGTCTCGAACCATCTTGAAAAAACAAGATCTTTGTTTATTTGTTTGTTTGTTTGTTTTAATCATTCAAATAATGTAATCAACAGAAATACCACTTATGTAATACTTAATTTAATGCTTTTATGATTTATTTGTACTATGAAATTATTAAATAAACGATAATGAAAAATGAAATAAATCATTCATTGATTTTTTTTCTTGTTACTATGTCGTTGTCATTATGTTAATAGTTTATAATTTGATGTAAGAATTTTTTCACTCTTACCCCCCCCCTACAGCCATGGAGGACAGAACTAAGTACCTTTAGTCTTATGTGCAAATATAATCTCTAGATCATGAGATGTGAAAATTCTACAGTTTTATATGAATCCCCTAATGAGATGGAGTAGAGGAGTTAGGCATATTGGCTGATTCATTAATCTTGAGATTCTTATCAGTCTTGATGCACTGGTGTCTGAAGAAATCTCTGTACTAATTCATAAAGCTCAACTGACTTTTGCTGGTTTGATTCACTTATGGCATAAGCAAGATGTTAGTATGCCAACCAAAGGATAAGTTTATTGTGCGAAACATGATCACTAAAAAATAGAGGATGTCCATAAGTAATTCGCATTCGATCATGGGTTTGTTCAGAGCATTGTTCGTGTATTTTGAGACCAGTGAGTAAGCAATACCTAAGTTAGAAATAAGCTACTATGTAAAGATGAGGTAGTACATTTTCGTCAAACGAGTTGATTTGAACATGTATTACTTATGCCAAACAACCGTCTACATCGATAGGTCATGCTATCTGATGTAGGAGCAGGTTTACAGTTAAGAGTGGCCAAATCAAAAACCATCATCAGTTAATGAAGCGACTGACAGTTGATAGGTATGGACTATCCGGTTGTGGTCCATGTGATTATCACAACCAAAGTTTAGGGATTTTGAATGAGGTGGCTCAAAATCGTTCACAATGGCATATGTGCATCTATCCTTTGTCTTTCCCAGTGGTCTCAGCTTCCGAATTCTTTACAATGTTTTTGTTATTTCACTAATTTATAGATTCTTTTCTTGAATCGTATCTTTGATGGCTAGTATACACTATTATCACTAATACCGTCATTACCTTTACTACTATGGGATTCGCTCGCTATGTTATTAAGGTATCGAAACTTGAACTTATATACACACGTATCAGGTGATATTTTTCCACTGACGGACTGACAAATTCCTCTATACTTAAAATAATCCAGTGCTCACTAATGATCAGCTACAAGATGCACATCCAGGATTTCTGGTAAGAATTCTTAATCTGTGGGGCACAACCGTTTCACAACTGAGATCGTTATCCACTACAAGTAATGGATAAGGGTCGCTCAGTATTGCGAATCGATTGAAATTAGGCATGTACATCATTAGATGATGGCTCAGTAGTCTAGAGACTAGGCATTCTTGCACGATACCGAAAGTCGCACTAAATGAACAGGAAAATACTATACATTGGATAAATATTGAACATTAAGAAGGAGATGCGTTACTGATTCTCAGACATGTATCCAATCCTATCAAACATTAGATAAAATCATTGTAAGCAGAGATCGATTATGGCTAGCACTGTAATCAAGGACACACGTTTTGTCCTGTTTGAGACTCGTCAGATGAATGTACCTGTAACACAGTTGGTATTCACTTCAGGATTTGAATCCAGTAACGTTGGCTTAAAACACCACAATTTTATCTACTTGACTAATGAGTCTTGAATCGTTAGCGAAAAGATTCAAGAAACCAATACAAATGAATTAAATACAATTTCATTGTTATGAAAAAAACAACTTAAAGAAAGTATAAGTGTTTAAATAGAAATGTGGCATATCAACACTAGAATTCGGGCATAAACATTTGGCAAATTCCAAATAGGATGAGATGTTCATCTTGGAATCCATGGCTAGCAGAATATTAAGGATATTAACACTATTAGATGCCAACACAGTGGTCTAGAGGTTAAGCGTTAGCACGCGAAACTGATAAATCCTGGGTTCGAATCTCGCGAAGCAGGATCGTAGTTGCCCACTGCTGAGGAATCCCAAACTAAAACGAAACAACTGTCTAGTTCTTCCAGATTTTTAATAGTCCTCTATAACCTAGATCGACTGATGAATTCAATTATTAAACTAGTTGAGTTCAACCGGGTCATTTGTGAGATAGTAACTCATTGATAACAATGGTGGATGTGTCGCTCAATTTCGTGGATTGGTTGAAGTTAGACATTAACACCATTGGATGCCGAGCCACTTCATAGTCTAAAGGTGAAGTATTCGCACGAGAGACTAATAGGTCGTGGTTTCGAATCCCGCGAGACGAGGTGGTAGGTGCGCATACCTGAAGAGTCCCACAATACGATGAAACGGCTATCCAGTACTTCCAAGTTTTCCATGCTGGTGTACTAACTTCAAAGAACTTATGATCTCTTAACTATTGAAATTATTAAATTATAATCACAAATAAAAATAAAACATAATTAACAAATCAATGATTATTATTGCCCCCGAATGCCCTGGTATGGTCGAGAGTGGGGAGAGTCCGCTCTCCCTCTCGAAATGCTTTCACACGGCCACGCGTATACAGCCTCTGCCAGGGAAGTTCTACCCACTGCCTTCTCGCAAAATAACTGTTGTTTACGAAAATGAGAGGACGAAAAGCGAATGTCCGGCGATTTAACCGGATTCCAAACCAATGGTGTACATGGGCTCCAGTATCCTGCGGGAACAAATGGCGTACGAACCAATCGTTAGTCACCGGCTCCCATTGGACTGCATCTCCTCACGATGCTCAACTGCCTTGTGGATCAGACCTTCAGGTAGAAGGCTAGGGGAGTGGCCCCCTAAGAAAACCACCTGCTTCGGTTTGGTCACCTGGTCAGTATCACAGCCCTCACACATATCGAATGAGATTTGTGTGACACATATGTATTTGGTGCCTCCTTGTACCAATATCTATGTGTTCAAATAAATAAAATAAATAAATAATAAATGATTATTATCAACTTTACCAATTTAACATCTTTATATTGATGCGAATCTCCATTTGAATCAATCTGATGTGCCATCATAAATTCCCAATGAATATTTGGTAAAGGATTACCATGTATTACGCATTTTATAGATAAAGATTCATTCAATAAAACAATTTGTTGTATAGATGAATGATAAAGGATACTTCTCTTTTTAATTTTAGTTAATTCTTTATTCACATGTTCATTTGTTGCTAAGGTATTTGAATCAAATAGAAGTTTTATATCTGGGCCAGTTTTCATAGTATGTAGAATTAAATGATTAATAACACATGTATAGGTAAGATTTCTTTTAGTGAATGAGTTTATATTGAATAAATGTAGATTACCTGTTGAAAGTAAAAAAGAAGATGTAAAGTAAATTATAGTTACTAGTATAGGGGTTGTGAAGATTACTAAGTTTTTGATTGAGATCATGAACCGATTAGTGTTAGACCACCTTTGGATGCCGGCCCAGTGGTCCAGTAGGTTAAGCGTTCGCGCGCGAGACTGAAGGACTTGGATTCCAATCCTATGGGCTGGATCGTGGATGCGAACTGCTGAGGAGTCCTACAATAGGACGAAACAGCTGTCCAGTGCTTCCAGGTTTCCAAAGGTGGTGGTCTAACATCAATCGATTCATGATCTCAATCAATAAATTATAGTTATTATTCACAGTTATATAATATACCCTTACGGGCCAGGGTAATCTTACATTGGTTTTCAGGAGATCCTGACACCATCCAGACTTTCACGTGACAACCCAAAACAGTACAGCTCAAGCCCGCTTCACAGGAGAGCCAGACACTACTCATGCTTACATTTTATAAACCGAGTAGTACAGCTCAATCCCGCTTTACAGGAGAACCAGACACCGTATAAGCTTTAACGTTACAATCTGAATAGTACAGCTCAATCCTGTGGTGCAACCACACACACTCTGGTGGACCAAAAGCAAATTATAATGATACTTTATAGATAATAGAAAGTAGTTTGAAGTTATGAAGTAGACTTACTAAACATTGTAAGACGACTATGTCAAATTTTTCGACGATGCTTCCTAGATGCGCTGATAAGGACGAGGGTGGGAAAAGTAAGCTCTCTCTCTCTCTCGAAATGCTCTCACACACTCACTGACAAGGAAGTCCTACTAAATGCTTTCTCGCGGCGGTGTTGTTTACGAAACTGAAAGGATGAAAAGCGAATGTCCGATGCTTAGACCAGGTTAGTGGACATGGAGGATTCGTGTAGTTGAGTTGGAAAAACTTTGATTCAAAATAAATGGTGTACATGGGCCCTAGCATCTACAGGGAACAAATGGTGTATGAAAGAGTTGTTGACCACCGGCTCTACTCTGTCGTGGATTACACCTATAGGTGAAAATCTTGGGGTGTGGTCTCCTAAGAAAACCACTTGCTTCGGTTTTGGCACCTGGGTAGTATCCTCCTTGTAGCAATGTTTATGTGTTTAAATAAATAACTTTTCAATAATATGTCTTAATCAAAATATGATGACAGTCAACTTACATTTGGATCAGTGATAGAATCTCACTTATCAATAGTCTACTTGAAGTTTGTATTGATGATGTTGTTCAGAAGAACAAAGAACTTTCATGACTAAACCATCCAGCTCAGAGAATAAAACTCCATATAAGTTTATAAATTAAGTCTGTTCATGAATGAATACCGTTCGTTTCAAACACCATCGCCTGATCCACAAGCCACGTGCCTGTGCATTAAAGTAAAGTTTAAATTCACTTGGAATTGTTTACTTGAATCTCCCCATGGATGTTTAGGGCTGCAGTTGATCAGGTACATCCAGCTAACGAGTCCCAAATAGGAAAAAACGCGTGTCCTGTATTCCACTGTTGGCCACTATCCATTTTTGCTTATTATCATTCTGTAGAATTTCAGGTTCAATATTATGTACATTTCAGTGGCCAAAATAATCTCTTCTTCTCGAAAATTGATCTTCTATGATCAGCTTATTTCCACTGTTTTGGTATTCATCTAGAATTGCTGTTATGATGTATTAAGTTTAGCCGACTCATGTTTTGCCAAAATCTACACTGATGATGACTGACTGTAAAACTTGAGCAGTTATTCACTTAGATAATTTGCAAAAATACTGTCAATCATGATAACTTTGATGTACATTTTATTCTTTTCACATCCAAAATTAGAACTGTATACTATCAGAATGGATGCTTGTGGAGACTAGTAATTTTAATAGTTGAATACATGAAAGTAGCAGAAGACTGTTTCGTTCTAGTATAGGATTCCTGAGCAGTATACATCCACGATCATGCATGCGGGACTCAAACTCATGACTTTCAATAGCTTACGTGCTCGCGCGTGAGACCGAAGTCACTGGGTTCGTGTTCCGTGAGTGGAATCGTGGATGTGCATTGACGAGGAAACCTATAATGGGACGAAACGTCTGCCCACTGCTTCTAGGTTGTCTATGGTGGTCTAGATTAGATTGACTCAGCTATTGAAAAAAGAACTGTATACATTTATTCAGTAAATACTGTATCATCGTCTTTCGAAACCATAATAGAAACTTGGCTTCACTCTTCTTTCCTCACACATTAAGGGTTGAGTTAAGAAATAACATTCAGGGAACTGTATTAAGCGTTCTTCTAGTTTCTTTATAAAATAGCCTGACTTATTTAGTAACCATGCTAAAATTACTACTTGTTTAGAAAATAAAAATCTACTCAATTTAACAAGTGGTCTTTCCTGATGTGAAATAAAACTCAGCATGGGGCCCCTCTGGGGCTACTACCGGTCCCAAGTCCGGATAAAGGAGGAGGGTTAGGCATGGGGTCGGCAACCCCATTCCATAGAAGAAAATCTTGCCAAAAAACTCCAACCAGAAGTATGTGAAATAGATATTGGAATGTTTATTGTTTCCTATTTAGTATTCGTCAGATGAATATAGTCACTTTCCAATCTTCATAAGCTCTTTAGGATTCGAACTCAGCACATGTTTACTCTAAACACCAGTGAACTATCAAAGTCAAATCGCTACTATTCAACTGATAGAATGTTTTGTCTTTCCTTTATTAACCAATTAATCTCAATTGTCAGTACAGGGTTGTGGAGATTATTAAGTTATTGGTTGAGATCTTGAACCAATTGATATTAGACCATCACTGAAAATCTGGAAGCAGTAGATGACTGTTTCGCCATATTATGGGACTCCTACTTGACAGTGCACATACAAGATCAAGTTTGCGGGATTCGAACCCAAGGCCTTCAGTCTCGTGCACAAACGCCTAACCTACTAGACCATTGAGCCGGCCGGTATCCAATGCTGTTAATGTCTAACTTCAAACAATCCACGAAATTACACCACGACGTTCCATTGTACTGAGATAGATAATTGTCTTTACCTAACACGGATTAGTTGCACTAATGGTCTAACATCATAATCTCGATTAGCTCATTTACTGAACAAGTATATACCTTCGAAATAATCAACTGATGGATCGATCACATTGTGTTAATAATCATAACAATAATGAACCTAAGAATAGAATACTAAGATTCATAGGCAGGTAAGTCATTCATTATTAAGTCAAATGAAGAATTGAAAAGCTTACAAAAACTAAATAGTCGAATTACGTGTATATGTGTGTGATATTTTTGTTTGTTTCTTCAATTCAGACGTCTTTCTTTCTATTTCCCATGTTACCTGGTGTTTCCCTCTTGACTCTCCCTTCCCCTCCCCTCTCTATCTCTCCTTATCTCTTTTTCCTAGTGACAAGAGATTAATTAAACTAATTGATTGAGTAAATTATGTTCTTTATATGAATACAAAATGGATATTCTATACATTAGCCTTCATCATCATTCTTGTTAGTTGTATGCTATCCATAATGAACTATTATACATTCTCTTATATATATGCTGTTAAACATTTAGAGGAGAAAAAAGAAAACCAAATTAGTGAAATGATCCTCTCTTGAATGTAAGAGATGCAACATAACGGATGATTGAGTTTTCTAATGTTCTAATCTATATGCATATACATATACAAACACTCATAAATTTGATCAAGAATGAGTAAGTATCTGTAGTTCAGGTGGATGATTTTTGATGTCGTTTTGTTCTCTTACCTGGATGGTTTAATCGTGAAGTTTTCATCGTTCTTCTAAACAACATCATCGGCACAAACTTGATGTAGAAATGAAGTGTTCGAAGTTTGTGCTTATGTTGCCATTCAGTAGAAAGCTCCACGATTAAATCATACAGCTTAGAGAACAAAATTCTATCAAAATGAGTATGTATCATTTGATGAAGATCAATTAATTTTAATAGTTGAGATCATGGAACTAGACAACCATAGAAAACTTGGAAGCACTGAATTAACCATTTCGTCTTATTGTGAGACTTCTTAGCAGTGCACATCCAAGATTCGAACCTAGGACCTAACAGTCTCGTTCGCGAACACTTAACCTTAAGACTACTGAGCCAGCTGGAATCCAACGGTGTTAATGTCAATCTCTTAGATGTATACCTTATCTGACTAGTTAGTCTTTACAAAAAATAATATAATTTCGTATGTATATAAAATGTACTTGGCACTTAAAGAAGGGACTATTTGATTTATCAGTTGCCAACCAATGGGAACAGAAACCAACCCAAGTTCTTTTACAAAGTACTTGACTATTTGATGATACAATGCTGTTTAAGAAAATGTTGGGTTTTAGATGTGACTGACTATTAACAACAAATTTAAAAAGATTAAAAAATGGGTTCAGAAGTGTAATCTACTGTTGTCGTTACAGATGGATTTCCTTCATGAATTTATGATGAGTATATTCTGATATCCCAACTGTTGCTGCTACCTCACCCTACATTTAATTTGTGTGAAGGATGGAATACTGTTCGGTTGCCCAAACTGAAGCAGTTGATTTTCTCAGGGAGCCATACCCCGAGACTTTCACCAAAAGTCTGATCCACAACATAATCCCATGGTATCTAGAGACCAACCATAGGTTCATATGAATCTTTAGGATCCTAGAGTCTATGGGAACCATTGGTTTACAATCCAGATTATTCAACTTCTCTAGGTTGATTCTGTAAATCCACCAAGCCGGTTAAAGCATTGGACATTCGCTATTTGTCCTCTCAATTTCATAAACACTCTCACCACGAAAAGGTAATGAGTAGGATTTCTCTGTCACTGTCTGTGGATCTGATGCAGATGTGAAAGCGTGGATCGGCAAAGCAAGAGCAGCATATTTACAATTGAAGAACATCTGGAACTCAAAACAACGGTCTGTCAACCAACACCAAAGTCAGAATTTTCAATACAAATATCAAGACAGTTCTACTGTGTGGGGTGGAAACTTGGAGAACTATGAAATCCATCATCCAGAAGATACAGGTGTTTATTAACAATTGTCTACGCAAAATACTTCAGATCCATTGGCCGAACACTATTAGCAACAATCTACTGTGGGAGAGAACAAACCAGATTGTAGCGGAGGAAGAAATCAGGAAGAAGTGCTGGAAGTGGATAAGATACACATTGAGGAAATCATCCAACTGCGTCACAAGGAAAGCCCTCACATGGAATCCTGGAGGCCAAAGGAGGAGAGGAACACCAAAGAACACATTACGTTGGGAAATGGAGATAGACATGAGAAAAATGAACAAGAATTGGATGGAATTAGAAAAGAAGGCCCAGGACCGAGTGGGTTTGAGAATGGTGTTTGGTGGCCTATGCTCCATTAGGAGTAACAGGCGTAAGTAAGTAAGTAAGTAAGTAAGTAAGTCTTGAATTACAATAAAACAGCTGTCTAGTTCTCCTTGATCTTTACTGATTGTATAACTAAAATCAATGAATGATGTAACATATGCTAAATAGATGAACGGTAACTAATCATTATTTAAAGACTCTTAAAACATCTTCACAAGTTGAATGTGTATAAAAAGAGAGATTTTGTAAAAATGTTACATGTTTTGGAGCTGAGAACTGTCTACTGTAATCTTATTCTACAACTGAAGATACCTAACTTCGAAAACGAATGAAAATATACAAGTTGGCTTCATTTCTTCTTTGCATATTTAAAAGTACAACTTCTGGTGTAGATGAAGTTTATTTCTTTTTGATTGAGATCATAAAATGATTAATGTTAGACCACCATTGAAAACCTGGAAGTACTGGATGATCGTTTCGTCTTATTGTGGGATTTCTCGGCAGTGCGCATCGACGATCCCGCTCGCGGTTAAACATTAACACCGTTGGATGCCGTTTTCTAGAGGTTAAGTGTTCATGAGCGAGACCGATAGGTTCTAGGTTCGAATCTAGCAAGGCGGGGTCATGGGTGTTTGCCCTGTTGAGTAGTCCCATACTAGAACGTAACGACCATTCAATGCTTTCATGTTTTCAATGGTGGTCTAGCCTTGATCAACTCATGAGTTCAACTATGAAACTGAGAACATACATAATTTTACAATATAGAAAGTTACTATCACAGTAATCAATAGGAACGAAGTACATACATATAAACGAAGTGTATACACGTGTGTATGTATGTATGTGTGTGTGTGCAAAGCAAGATAGAAAGCCATTGGAATGTAACAATTATAAAAGTGATATAACAAGAGTATATTAGTAAAAAGACATCACATAACTGTAATTGAATTAGTTTCATTACAGGAAACAGAAAGTATCTAAACTTGAAATCAAGTCATGTTGTTTCTTTATATCTGTCTTATAACTCTATATGGGAAACCGGAAGAATGTATTACACTAGTTTGATTTCTTTGCTAATAAGGGTAATAGTATAGAGATAATTGTTGCTTTCTGTTTATTTTACATAAACTACTATGACAACTTATGAAGGAATGAATGTAAGATAAGTATTGTCAATGTAGTAATACCCCTTCCCTCCCCCCCCCTTGTTCTTAATTGTCTCAATGCATTCTATCAATCTCTCTAAATGCATAAATATGGAGTGTATGTATTAGAGTTAATAAGAAAGTTTCACGTAGAACTTCTAAGGATTCATTTGATTTCTGTTGTCAAGTTTTCTTTTCCCTTTTTTTCCTCTTTTGTTTTAAAAAAGGGGGGAGAAATAGAGAAAGGAGTAACTTAGAAGAAATAAGCCATCACATAGTGTATATACTTTGTTGAAATACATACAGTTGGTTTTGATCGAGTTTTGTTCTCTGAGCTGGATGGTTTGGTCATGGAGCTTTCATCGTTCTTCTAAACGACATCATCAACACAAACTTCTATCTGAAGTCGTTCAGAAAAACAATGAAAGCTCCACGACCAAGCCATTCAGCTCAGAGAACGAAACTCAATCAAAATCATCCACCTGAGCTACAAATCTTCTCCACATACAGTTGGACAATGTACTCGTTTCTATAGTGTTGTTCCAATCAGATACAAAAAGAAACTTGATAAATATCCTGATTCATTGTGCTAGAATGATTTGCTTGGATGATATGATTGTAACTGAATTGGTTAATATTTGTAACATGCTTAATAGGAATGGATACCGAATAAAATTCATTGACAAACATATGAAAGAGATGAAAAGAAGGGCAAGGGTACCTACTGTTCCGTTCAGTCATTCAGTTAGTTTAAACGTAGAACCAGGCACATAAATGCATCAGTCCAAGTTGCCACACCTCATTAGCATAGCAAGACGAACACTGGATTCATAGAAGCAGTTAACTCAATGGTGTAATATATGAATTAAGCAATAGATTGTATAGGAAAGAAATCCTAACGAGAGAGAGACAGGGAGGGAGAAAGCAAGATTGAAACCGAATTCTGTAAAAGTCTGACATCTAATTTAGAAGATAGGCAAATATTAGGTACAAGAAATGTTTCATAGTGATAATGCTCTGATGTATACCATATATTTTTTTCAGACCACATTGACAATTGAATTGGCCCCCCGAATGCTCTGATACAGCCGAGAGTGGGGACAGTTAGCTCTCCCTCTCAATATCCTCTCGCGTGGACATGTGCATAAAACCAGTTACACGGACGTCCTACTCACTTCCTTCTCGTTACTCAGGTGTTGTTTACCCGGTGCTTTAACCGGGTTGGTGAGTACGGAGGGTCCATCTATGTGAGTTAGTGTACATGAGTTCTCCATGATGGTCTCGCTTCAATTGACTCATAATCTCAACTATTAAAATTACTATAATATTCACAAAACCCCTTCTGATCAAAATTCATTTCTTTGGAATAGAACTAAACTAAAGAAAACAAACACAGATAAGATCATCATGGAATATAATAAAAATTCATCATCACTTACCATCATCATCAATAATATGATTACGATCTTCATGTATAAAATTTATTGAACCATCTTCATCATCTTTGACCATCCATTGGATTTTAGCAGTTGGTATACTTTTTGTTGCGGAACAATTTAAGATTTTGGTTTCATTCGGTTTTATATGAATTAGTTTTGGATTAAGATCTTGAAATGTACCAATTCCTATGAAAAGATATATATATATATATATATTGTGAAGACTGTAGCAACTTTAATAGTTGTATTCATGACTTGATCTAAGCTAGAGTACCATTGAAAGTATGGAAGTACTGGATGACCGTTTCATTCTAGTATGGAGCTTCAAAGCAGCGTATATCCACGATCTCAAACTCGAGACACGAATCCAGGAACTTCGGTCTCGCACGCAAACTATTAACTTCTAGACCACTGAACCAGCATTCAACGATTGAAGTAAGACATTCGCGCGAGAGATCGAAGGTCATATGTTAGAGTCCTGTTTGTGAGATTGTCGGTGTGCACTACTCAGAAGCTTCATACTAGGATGAAACAGACATCCAGTGCTTCCAGGTTTTCAGTGGTGTTCTAGCATCAATCGATTCATGATCTCAATCAATAACATACTACACCACAAGATCAGTTGCAAAAGAATTAAAATGATATTAGTATTAATATTAATTAAAAGGATTAAATATCACAAGTATTTCCAGCTGAAGAATACCGAATAGGACGAAATGTACTCCCTGAAGTGTACTACCAGCCTCTATTTAACTCTGTTTAAAATACTTGTTATCTGACAGTGATGTCAAGGTGATTCGCACTAGATGCATGAATGCCGAAAGAGACTGATCAGTTTCAATCCATAGTATTAAGAACGAGAATATTCAAACAACCTTTACAAATGTATTAAAATTCACCCTGTTAAACACACTAGTGGTTATCTGGACCCGGTAATTAAGTAGATAACATAGTGATATTTAAAATGAAGGTTACTGTATTCGATTCCCAGTGTGAACATTAACACTAAGATGCAGATGCATCACCTCATCCTTAATTCTAGAGCTACTCATAATCCAAAGCCGCTAAATTGCAGAATACGGCTCAAATAGAAGGAATAAAGTATTCAGTAATGTTGAATCCTATAAATAAATAGGAGATAAGTAGTGAACGTATCCGTACTGTGGTTGATTCTGAATGATGTTACCCAACGTCTACAATCCCCAAACACATCTATCGTGTGGAAACAAACTAGGTATTCTGTACATAACAACATACTTTAGTTCATTAGTTTATGATTTCATGGACTAATGGGTTGCCTTTAGCATTTATTTTTCAGTGTACCACTACTTCCGTAAACGATGATCGTCAAGGTAACAAGTGATGTAGCATACATACATACATACATACATACATACATACATGGGTTTCAACGTAATCCCAAGTGATGAATACAACTTATAAATGAGACTAATATCTAAGTCATTTATGATAAAAGGCTAAACCTTTTGATAAACAATGATTTTCCCATCTATTTAAGGTTAAAGATTGAAACATGATTACATCACTTAAGATTTTGTTATTTTATTGATCCGATATCATTAATACTAAAAGTACACTGTAGATAATGATGATGATGTCATGAAGCTTTAAAACAACTGGAATATAAAACTTTTATATTAAAGTACACAGAAACGAACTTTTTGATAGCCCTATCAATGATTACATCATTTAAAACATTAATAGTATAAAGATGAAAGTTAAACGATCACACTATATCTCGATTGAACCTAGACCACCATGGCAAAGCGGGAAGCACTGGACGCGGTTTCGTCCTATCGTGGGACTTCTTACTAGTGAGTATCCATGATCCCGCCTTGCGAGATTTCAACTCAGGACCTATTGGTCTCGCGCGCGGACGCTTAACCTCTAGACCACTGAGCCGATCGGCATCCAACGGTGTTAATGTATAATTTCAACTAATCCACGAAGTCGTGCCACTGTCTACCATTGTCGTCAGTGAGTTACTATCTCACAACAGACCCAATTGAACTCCACTAGTCATGGCTTCTCACTAGAGCGCCAGGAATTACCTCTTGGAGTCTGTCACTAGTAAGTATATGATGATTGTAATCGGAGATAGATTTTGCAGACATTTTAGTAATTTAATAGTTGAATTCGCTAGTCAATTGAAGGTAGATCATGTATGGATGTTTATGATACTTGTTCATTTTAAATATAATTTATACCATGGAAAATTAACAGAAAATGTGAAAACACTGGATAGTTTTATTGAAATCAGAAATCGATTAGTGTTAGATCATCAATGGAAATCTAGAAGCACTGGACGGACGTTTCGTTCTTGTATGGGACTCTTCAGTAGTGCGTAGCCGCGAACTGAGTGGGGAATTTAGTCTCACATGAACGCTTAACCTCTAGACTACTGAATCGGCATCTGACGGTGTTAATGTCTAACTTTAATTGGTCATCGACATAGCACGATTATCTTCTATTGTCATCGGTTGGTAATTAGTTCATGCCCCACACGGTTGAATTCCACTGGTCATAGCTTCTTACTAGAACTCCGAGAATTACTTCTCAAAGCTAGTCACTAGTGAGCATATTAAAGTTTTAAGTTGTGAAGATCCTTAAATCTCATTGAAATCATGAACTGATAAATGTTAAACCACCGTCGAGTTAGATGGTTTAGTTATGGAGCTTTCATCGTTCTTCTGAATGATATCATCAGCACAAACTTCAGGTAGAATGCTTTCTGTGATGCATGTACATCCAGCTGATGAGTCCCAAGTAGGACGAAACGTTCATCCTGGATTCTATTGCTAGCTACTAACTATCTCTCCTTTTATGATATCAGTTGTTTTTTTATAATTCACGGAAGAAGAAGAAGAAGAAGAAGTACATATTATGTCATAATGAGCTATTATGTAATCAACTAATTAAAACTTACTTGCCACTTCTAATTTCAATGGAATTGATAAAGCTTTACCAAATGGATTAATAGCAATACATTGATATAATCCAGCTATCAAATGATTTGATATTCGTTGAATACCAAAATACCATAAACCTGATTCATCCATAGAATGTAAATGATATGAATCATTGGAATGTGTTAATTTCTTTGATAACATTGTATTGTATGGCTTAATCCAGTTGGCTTGTTTTCCATTCAATGTCCAATAATACCTAATCAATTATAAAGCAAAAGGGTTAAAACTAGAAATATCTAAGATAGATTAAAAGAAAAAAAGATGTGTTGAACATAGTTCAGTTCTATTGTGTAAACATTATGTCGATTGGAACTGCATCCTTTCGATTCAGCACTGAAACGTTTCAGATTTTTGTTTTTGTCTTGTGAATATACAATGGTTGAAAGTTAAGATGATGGTTGGAGATAGTCAACAGGAGATCCTGGATCTAGGTTTCGTGCTACTTGACATTCGTCAATAAGGTGACGTGTACCTGTAATCTCGAGGGAATTGATGCTCCTCGACATATTCGATTTCACGTCACACAGTTTCACAATCAGAGATGTTACCACTGAGCTATTCGATCCGTGACCGACCTCCTGTATGACTGAGATGTATTTAAAATTGATTATTCACTGGGTGGTGATCAATGTCATGTGTGTCTGGTCTTTCTTAGTGTAACTTTGGGATCCATTTATGGACCAATACTAAACGTATATTTCTATTGTAACTTAACTATGCATATTCATATTTCGCTTATTATAAACTTTACTTTAACTTATGAACCATTATTATACGTCTTACCATCCTTGAGTTATAATCAGTATATGAATGACTACCTCCTTCATTCACAGTCACATCTGGGTAAGTCTCGTACAAATGTTGTTTCCTATTTTATTGGTACGATGTGATCTGTCTGGTTGGTAATATAAACCCAGTATGCTTGAAATAAATGATTCATATCACAGAGGCTGAGACTGGTGTTCTGGACTTAACTGGCTGGGCTAGGCGGAAAGCAGGACCAGTCAGAACTCTAGACTGCTCACATGTGTTTACACATCTTTGATCCGATTGATAAGCCAATGCCCTCTAATAGGCGGTCACAAGTTATAACATTGAGATCATGAATTTATTGATGTTAGACCATCATTGAAAACCTGGAAGCACTAGACGCCCGTTTTGTCCTATTGTAGGACTCCTCAGCAGTACGTATCCATGATCTCGCCTTGCTGGATTCGAAACCAAGGCCTTCATGATCACATGTAATATATAACATAAATTTAAATGTTTAATAGTTTCGAGAGTGAAAAACAAGCAAACAAACGAACAATTGAACAATATGGCGGTCTGTTCAAATTTATAAACGCCGCTTAACTATTTCTAATCTTCATTTATTTCAACTCATTAATAATGTCAATTAATTGCAGAATATTGTATTTTGCATGTTATAAAAAAGGCGGGAGCTTTCAACTGATGTCAAAGTGAGTGAGTTAGTTAGTAGTATAATTGTATTGAAATCATTCATTAATGTATTTGATATCTTTACTTTTCTTATTCAATTCATCATAGTCATCAAACAAAAACAGTTCATCAAACTATTAGAATAGAAGATGAAGCGGATAATGATAAATGACATTTGATCAGTTCTAATAATAATCATAGTCATAATCAGAGATTACGTTTATACCTACATATCTATTTTGGATAGTTACAAGACAGGAATTCCGCAGATTATATATTATATACCGTTGAGTTCTTTACTGTAATCACATATACATACTACTGAACAATACTATTAATAGTAGTAGTAGGAGGAGGAGGAGGGGGAGTCGTAGTAACCAGACAGAGTATCAGGGGAATAAATTAATAAATAGTTCAGTATATGGTAAATATATATTAGTTAAATGGTATTACTTGTTTTCTTTTGTTAAATCTATTCTCTTAAATCTTATGTATGTCAAACTGACTAAAATATCATAGAATTTCTCAATTATAATAATGAATCATGTTTAATTTTGCATGTGTTCACGAATCCTCGTGGTATAGCGGAGGGTGGGGAAAGTTCTCTCTCTCTCTCTCTCTCTCTCTCTTGAAATGCTTTCACATGGACAAGAGTATATGTTTACTATCAAGGTAGTCCTACTCACTAACATCTTGCTGCCGGAATGTTGTTTACAAAATTGAGAGGATCGGGTTGGTGGATATGGAGAAGCCATCTAGGGTGAGTTGGAAAATTTTAATTTAAAACCAATGGTGCATATTAGCTCGAACAAAAAGTATATGAACCTGTTGTTGGTCATCGGCTACTACATTTCCACAAGTTTTTCCACTACATTGTGAGTCAGACATTCAGGTCGAAGTCTCGTGCTGTGGCCCCTTTTGAAAGCCATCTGTTTCGCTCTGGGTACCTATGCAGTATCATGAACCATACACAAATCAAGCAAGTTGTGTGGTGCATATGTATTCGGTGCCTTCTTGGACCAATGTTTACGTGTTTAACTAAATGAATCTTGCATGTAAATATCATAAACTTGTTTGATAACAACACAAATTAAATAAGTGTTTATTTTAAATGGATTAGTTGCTGTTAATCTTCTCCATTGTCTTTTTAATATTTATAATGATAAGTGTTATTGTGAGCAAAGATGGATAGTGACTAGTAATAGAATCCAGCATACGTGTTTCGTCACACTCGAGACTCTTCAGCTGGATGAACCTTTATCTCTGAATTGATGTTCAGTCTGACACTCGAACCTAGTACCATTCGTTTCAAACGCCATCAAATCATCGATTTAGCTACTGAGTCTTGATGCCACTTGCTTGTGCAATGAAGTAAAGTTGAAATTCACTTGGTATTGTTTGATATGAATATTACCATTGATATTTAGGATGGTAATTGATCAGCTTTTCTTTTATTTGCATATGTACATACTGTGAGGATTGCCTTGATATTGCCGTAATTCATAAGCATTATAAGCATAGATGGATAGTGACTAGTAGTGGAATCCAGCACGCTTGTTTCATCATATTTCGGCCCCATCAATTGGATGTACCTGGATCTCAAATTTGATGTTCACTCTTTGCTTAGAATGCTTTTAAATTAGGTAATATAGAGACAGTATGCACATAAGCCAATAAGAGACTGATCAATTGCCATCCTAAACAACATTGGGAATATTCAAAACAAACAATACCAAGTTGAATTTATGAGTGTTATTAGTTTGTAAGGTGAAAAATGAAATAAAGCCTCCTCAGTGGCTTATTTAATCGTAGATTTGAAATTCAAGCTATTTATTATGATTAAACTCACTGGATAATAATACTATCACACATACAAGCGGGATTCGAAGTCAAATATTTAACTAACTGGACTAGATATTAGGATTCTTGAAATTTCGAACATAGTTTAAGTTTTTTTAATGGCATCATGAGCGGATTGATGTTAGACCACTGTTGGAAACCTGAAAGCACTGGATGGCCGTTTCGTCCTATTGTGAGACTCCTCATCAGTGCGCATCTACGATCCCGCTTCGGGAGATTTGAACCCAGGATCTATCAGTCTCATGCCAAAATCCATGACCTGTTATTGTAAATCTGACCGGTTTGTTCATAAATTATAGTCTCCCTCTAAAAATAATTGAGATTGATAAACAAATATCTTCACAGTTGAACTCACGAGTCGATTTAAGCTAGACCACCACTGAACACCTAGAATCGCCATATAACTTATAATTATAGTGCAACTTGGAATACCAAGCCTTAATCCTTGTTCATTGATTTACTACAATAAATAATTCAAGAAGTCACAGATCATCAAGTCTGTCTCTATGTAATTTTAATACTTCAAATTAGTTACTAATTTATACCTAAATACCTTATGAAAAAGAATCAAACATGGGTTCGAATCCCTCGGATGTGCACTGCTGAGGAGTCTCACAATAGGGTGAAACGGCCATTTAGTGCTTCCAGATTTTCAGTGGCGGTCTGATATTAGTCGGCTCATGATCTCAATCAACAAATTAATAATTCATTGAGAAGAAAATTGTCCTTCCAACAAAATCATTTGCTTATAAATAGGGATTTCAATCAGAATGAGGATTTGTGCAGATCGTAGTCATTTTAATAGTTGAATCCGTGAATTGACTTAATTTAGACCACAACTGAAAACATGGAAACACTGGACAACCATTTCTTCTTAGTATGAATCTTCTCAGTAGTGCATATCCACGATCTCGAACCAAAGAGACTCTAATCCAAGACCTTCTGGTCTCATGCGCGCACGCTCAACTTCTAGACCAATGAACTGGCCTCCAATAGTGTTAATGTCTAAATTCAATTAATTCATGATCATGCCTAACCCTTCATCCATTAGCACAATCGGATGTCGGCTCAGTGATCTAGAAGATAAGCGTTAGCGCGTGTGACTAATGGTCTTGGGTTCGAGCCCTACATGAAGAATGGTGGATGTGAACTACTGAGGAGTCCCATACTAAGACGAAACGGTCATTAAGCGCTTTCAAGTTTAAATACATACATTATATTTATCTTGACAATAGTTGCATAGTTGATAAAATCAATTCATTGTAACCTTCATGGAACCTTACAAATCCTATTAGCTAACGTTTATTATTAGAAATTCAAAGATACAAATCAAAATTGTCTCATCAAAATAAGGAGATCTATGCATGAGGTTTTGTTAGGAACTTTTAGTCAGACGTTTATTGAAGTACTATAAAGAAATGAAATTGGATGACCCATGTTTTTCATTATAAACCGGTCGAATTAGGAAATGTCAACCGTTTCCGATAGTTTCTGCTAGTGGTTGGAACAATCGTTCCTCAAAGTCCTATCATGCCAAGCAGATCGATTGAAAAACGGCAAAACTAAAAGCAGTAAACCCAAGGTCCAAGGGCGGAGTCGTACTTTTGACTGTACAGAGGTGTGACAACAGTAAGGTGTTTCCGTCAGACAAACAATATAACAACGATGCTGCCTTCCCACAAGGAAGGGTGGGGTTAGAAAAGGTTGACCCGAAAAGTGCACACCTCGCCTTATCCTATGGATATCCGTTTCCGGCGGTAAGTTCTCAACAGGTACGGAGGTAACATAAAAATTGCCTTAATAATGGTCGTGTGCGACCGATCTCAAGCAGTTTTCCCTTAGACACTGCGGTCACGCCTTCAGGTCACTAAGACTATAAACCATTTACCCTTCCAG